CCCCCCCTCATCGCTCCTCCCCCTCCTCTGGAACATGGTCATCTTATTTCTGCTCTCTCTCTTCCTCAGTGGGATGAGACGTCCGGGCTGGACGAGGAGGAGAAGACGACGGTGCGCACTTATGAGATCTGCAACGCTGACCTCGCCGGTCAGAACAATTGGCTCCGCACCAAGTACATCCAGCGCGGCCCCGCCCACCACGCCTACGCGGAGATCACGTTCACCATGATAGAGTGCGCCTCCTTCTCCCGGGGCGGCCGCTCCTGCAAGGAGACCTTCAATCTCTACTACTACCAAGCCAACTCCGACCTGGCCAACGAGCACTTCCCCCCCTGGATGGAGAACCCCTGGGTCAAGGTGGACACGGTGGCGGCCGACAACCTGTCCAGGCAGAGCCGGCGCGGCAGCGGCAACACGATGCGCTCCAACGTCAAGACTTTGCGCCTGGGCCCATTGAAGTCGGCTGGTTTCTATCTGGCCTTCCAGGACCAGGGGGCGTGCATGGCGCTTCTGGCCGTCCGTGTCTTCTACCGCGTCTGCCCCGCCGTGGTGGCTTCTCTGGCCAGCTTCCCGAAAACCGTCCCGGAGGGGTTGGTGGTGTCGGCGGAGGGCAGCTGTGTGGAAGGAGCGGAGGGGTCGCTTGGGAGGAAGCCGACCATGTACTGCAGAGAGGACGGCGAGTGGGCCAAGCCGGCGACAGGAGAGTGCGTGTGCACCGCCGGGCGGGAAGAGAAGGAAGGGCGCACCAAATGCACAGGTAGGAAACATTCTCGTATGGAACCATTTTTGCCATGCCGGTGGGGAGATTGTTTGTTTGGGGACCGTCCACCTGTATAAGATAAGACAACTCCAGGCCCGTGTACCGGTGGGGGAGTCTGAGGAAGTCCATGTAGTGAAGGCCGGCAGCGTGGCCATGTCATGTGATCACTCACAGCCTGAAGTCATGTGATCACTGAGCCTACGTAGTGAAAGCTGGTAGTGAGATGATGCCATGTGATCACTCAGGGCCAATGTAGTGGACGAAGGCAGAGAGGTTGGGTCATGTGATCGCTCAGAGCCTGAAGTCATGTGATCACTGAGCCAATGTAGTGGAAGAAGGCAGTAGGATAAGGTCATGTGATCACTCAGGACCAATGTAGTGGAAGAAGGTGGCAGGATAAGGTCATGTGATCACTCGGAGCCAATGTAGTAGAAGGCAGCGAGGTTGGGTCATGTGATCACTCTGAGCCAATGTAGTGGAAGAAGGCAGCAGGATAAGGTCATGTGATCACTCGGAGCCAATGGGGTCAAAGCTCTCGGTGTGGTGAAGATGACTTGTGTGACAACCTTGAATATATCGGGGTCAGCGCAGTAGTGGCACACTGGGCACTGTTGTGTTGCAGCGCTGGGGTCCTGTGTTCACTACCCACCAGGGCTCTGCTTGCTCGGCGCTCCATCTTTTTCCCTATTATATACTAGAAGGTGGGGAACCATGCG